GTTCTGAGAAAGCCTACTGAGAAAGATGTTGGGAATTTGAGACTTGCTGACCTCAGCAATGAACATCAAACATGTAGTGTGATTGTTCAATTTCATAAAGAAACAATGTATTCACAAGGAAAGAGAAAAGTCAAATAAATTCACAAAGCGAGAAAAAAGAAGTCAAAATACAGCCACAAAGAAATAAGGGAAATTCAAATGAAAGAAAGAAAGAATTCAAACGAAAAGAAAATTCAAAAGAAAGAAAATTCGAAAGAAAGAAAGAAAACTCAAAAGAAAGAAAGAAAGAAAATACACAAAAACGAAAAAAAAAAAATTCTAAAGAAAGAAAAAAGAAAATTCAACCGAAAAAGAAAATTCAAAAGAAAAAGAAAAAATTCACAAGAAAGAAAAAAAGAAAATTCACAAAAAAATCATTTGAATGAAATGTTCTTTATTTTCGAACTCCCATATTAATAGTTACAAACGCGATGTTTTAATATAACTGACTGGTTAGACGGGAAAAGATAAACAAGAATACCTATGAAAATTTTAAGGTTTTCCTATTTTCATTTTGAGATGAATAGTACTTCGTAAATTTAATGAGTGAACAAGACCCTAGCAAATCCCACGGTTATAAACTACCTGTTTAATTTCCCCAATTGTACTGTTAGATATTTTAGCTTAACAACTTTAACAATAAAAATATAAAAATGAAAGCAGGCCTTTATTTAAAGTAAAAAGCGGGTACAAATGAAAAGATTGAACATCGATAACGTTTTCCATTTCACTAAAACAGACGATGAACGCATGAGAACATTATCGCCTTTTCTAGCTTCTCTTTATTTCTTATTGTGGCGATTTTCTAAGCGTAGCCTAGATTTAGCGCAAGGCCGAAAGTAGGAAGTACACTAAGAGAGAAACTACTGAGAGGTACTTGTTTTCGCGAGACAAACTTGCTAACCATCGCACCACGTCGCAGTGTACTTTTTTTTTCTTATTATGTATGCTTTCATTTTCTGATTACAATCAAACAGAATCTCTGTCTTTTTCTTCCATCTTTCTTTGCAATCAAAACAGAATGTTCAATTATTTATCTGAGAAAATAGCAGGATGTAACACACCCGTTGGCGGAGCAAGTAGATTTACAATGTGGTAATTTTCTAAGCGTAGCTTAGATGTGACACAAGGCCGAAAGTATGGGGGACCCAATGAGAATCGAACTTACTATTCAGCCGTAACTGAGCGATAAAATGTCGTAACTTAGCGATAAAAGCACGTCGAACTGTTGAAGCAGAATTATAATATTATGTTTAATAACAGCGATAAAATAAGAGAGAAAAATAACAAAAAGAAATGGGCAAAAAAATATTACATTGCCTTAAAGAGGTAATATCGAAATACAAAATAAGATTTATTGTATTTCGATATTACCACTTTACGGTAACATAAAAAAGATTAACTTTTTTATTTTTGTTTTCACTTGTTTTAATATGTCCGATTTTATTGCTATTATTAAAGATTGTTCTCTTGCTAAAATATTTCAGTATGATGTTTAAGAACATTTTGATGTCAAAAATGATCGACAAGTTCCCCTGAACGGGAAATAATTTCTCTGAGAATCCTGGACGATCCCAATGTTTCATAATGGCAAATTTTAGATTATATTTTGAAAATCTGTGTCCACTATCAGAAGAGATGTTATTAAAATATACAGAGGAATGAACTAATATCTATCTGTGTCTACATACAAATGATAGATATATATATATATATATATATATATATATATATATATATGTGTGTGTGTGAAGAAAAATATACGGAAAAACAAACAAAAATCCTAATATGCAATTATGATGTTTTAATGTTAATATGTCAACGTCGGACGTTTCGGTCTAGTCGAGCATCTTCAGGACATATTCATAAAACATAATTAACATTAGACTATATTTAATTCAGCATGAAAAGACGATGGACATAAGAGTAAGACTAATCAAAACAGATCTAGCATTTTTGTTTGTTTTTCCGTATATTTTTCTTCATACTGTCAGATCTATATCCATATATTTGCTTACATATATATATATATATATATATATATATATATATATATTTATTTATTGAGTGTGAAAGAATATAAGAAAATGAAAAACGCTATTAATGAGAGAGAACAATAAAACAAGAATTAAGAAATCAGAATGTAACGGTTGACAATGCATTTGAATTTTCGAAGATCAAAGTTGATTGGGAAGTAAGAAGCCTGAAGAGAGTTCCACAGATGAGAAGTGCGAGTGAAGAAACTGTTATCATAGAACTTACGGTTACATCTAACCATTTCCACTGATTCCATATGATTATACCTTGCCGGTAATTTATTATTGCGCTTAAATTCATACAAATATATATGTATGCGTATAAATAAATAATTTTCAAGGAGGACAGGCCCAAAACTCCTGGAAAAGACGTTCTACCCAATCTTCTTTTCAAAAAATGAAGAGCTTAATATTTATCTTTCATTTTGGGAATACTATAACAATGAAACAGTTTTCAAGATCGGGAGGACTTCCCCACTGAGATGACAAATTCAACACAATCCATGCTAATATCCATGGTGTTATTTTTTGGAGACACTTGGTGTCGTAGGTGTCCTTCGTATTTTCAACCAACGGCAATTGTCAGTGTTTGAATGCTGATATTCAATGTAGACATGATCTGGAAGGCTGACTCAACAAAATCTTTATTCACCTTTTCCAAGACTTGGTCTATATGTTGAACTAAACTAAACTAAATAAATATTTGGAGAAATTCGCAACTGAATGCGCGCATCCAAAGATAAGTAGACAAAGATATAACCAAATAATAAATTAGATTTGGAAAGTCAAAACATTTTTGTCTCGGCTGATTTATCGGCCATTTTTTCCTTCTTTAACATGTCACTTGTGAAATGACAGCAGGCCGGACTTTGTATTCGGATCAAACAAAAAGCTCTTTGTTGCGATCAAAATTCTGAAGAAAATGGCACAGTTTAGTTCACGTGTGGTCATCTTTCTTTCTTCAGATTCTAATCCGCTGCCAAAATTTGGAAGAAGTCAAAAAAGGTCGCGTGGAGACATGAACGTAATATATTAGAAGAAAGAACAATTTTCTTATTCCAGTTTTTGGTAAGATTCATTTCTCCTAGAAGATCACAGAGGTCACAAAAAGTCGGTAGCTTTTGTTCGGTGCTGAACTGAAATTAATGTGCATAAAGAAAGAAAGAAAGAATCAATCAGAAGTGTCAGGTTAATGAAGGAAAGAAAGAAAGAATCAGAAGTGTCGGGGAAAAGAAGGAAAGAAAGAAAGAATCAGAAGTGTCGGGGAAAAGAAGGAAAGAAAGAAAGAATCAGAAGTGTCGGAGAAAAGAAGGAAAGAAAGAAAGAATCAGAAGTGTCGGGGAAAAGAAGGAAAGAAAGAAAGAATCAGAAGTGTCGGGGAAAAGAAGGAAAGAAAGAAAGAATCAGAAGTGTCGGAGAAAAGAAGGAAAGAAAGAAAGAATCAGAAGTGTCGGGGAAAAGAAGGAAAGAAAGAAAGAATCAGAAGTGTCGGAGAAAAGAAGGAAAGAAAGAAAGAATCAGAAGTGTCAGGTTAAAGAAGGAAAGAAAGAAAGAATCAGAAGTGTCAGGGGGAAGAAAGAAACGAAACGAAACGAAAATGTTAGGGCAAAGAAAGGAAGAATAAAAGAATCAGAAATGTTCTTGCAAAGAAAGGAAGAAAGAAAGAAGTCTCGTGGCCACATCGCTCATGAAGGTCAGTTAAACATGACCCTCCAACCCTTATGAGTGGAGTGTTCACGAAACTTTGAAGTCGGTCGAAAGTCAACCTTTATTAATTATTTGACTATATATCTATCCATTCATATTACCTCCCTAACATTCTTTTCTACGTATGTATTAATTTCTTTACATCTTCCTTTCTATTTCTATCTATCTCGATTCTATTTCTCTCTTTCTTTCTATCGTTCTTTCTTTCTTTCTTTAGTCCTGATGATAAACTATATCCGGCATCAAACCTTTGATCGAGAGATTTGAGGCTTTGGGAGAGTGTGGAAGCCCCTCTCAATTACCCAAGTTCACCATGACCCGGGATGGTAGCACCTATTTGGGTCCTAGTTATAGGCAAGTAGTGACCCCTCTCAAAAAAAAAAACATTATGAAAGTATGAAAAAATACATTTTATAATAAAAATAACAGTACATTTTTGTATAAAAAATTAGTAAAAATACATATTTATAGTAAAATTACCGCTAAGACATATTTATAGTGATATTACCAAATTACTTCAAAGCTCCCAAGAAGATTAAATTTTGGCATAAAATGACCCACAAACAGTTGATATGCCGTTAAACAAGCAAACAAATCAATCAGTCTTCCTTTTTCTTCCTTTTTCGTTTAAGCATTCTTTCTATCATTTTTCTTACTTTCTTTTTCTTTTTCGTTTTTTCTTTATTTCTTTTTTCTTCCTTTCTTTCGTTTTTTTTTTCATTTGTTCTTTCTTGTTTCTGTCTATTCTTTTTTTCTTCTTTTTCTTCTAACTGTTTTATTTTACTTTTTAAGGGGGTGTCGCGGAGTAATTGATAGATGCTTAGATTGAGTTTGAATTCCATTCGGATCCATTACGTGTGGGAAAAGCTATGAATCCTCTTCATCTCACCCACCAGCTATCGGTAAATAGCAGAAGAGACTGGTTTCCATAACCATGTGTGAAATCCGGTCTAAGAGAAAGTAACTGAATTCAAAACTGAATATAACCCTGACGTACTATACAGCTAAAGAAAGGATCATTTGCATTGGCTCGATGATCAAGCCTACGCTGATCTCCCTAACAGACTGGGTTCTATAGCCTTGGGTGGCAACCGGTCTAGGAGAAAGTAACTCTTAATTCAAAAATATATGTATTCCTAGTGTAGCACATGCTATACAGATAAAGAAATGATCGTTTGCATTGATTCGATGATCCCCGACTATTGTCGCTTAATGATTATGATACTATTTCATTTATTTTTCTCTCTCTCTTTTTTTTTCTGTCTTCATTCCATTTCCTTTACTTTTCTTTCTTTTTCCTTCCTTTTTACGTTTCGATTTTTTCATTTATTCTTCTTTTTTCTCTTTTTTCTACTTTCTATAACTTACGTTTTTTTCTTTCATTTTTTCTTCCTGTTTTTTGTGTCTTTTCTTCCTTGTTTTTCTTTGTGTCTTTTGTTCCTTTTCTTTGTTTTTCTCTCTTTTTTTTTCTTTTTACATTTTTCTTTTTTATTTCTTTATTTCGTTTTTCTTCCTTTCTCCCTTTTCTTTCTTTCTTTAGTTTTTCTTCTTTTCTTTTTGATTCCTGTTTTTATCATTTCTTTCATTTTTTTTTTTCTTGACTTGTTTTCTTTCCTACTTTTTTTTTCCTTCTTTTTCCTTGCTTTCTTTTTATCAGTCTCTATCTCTCTGAACCTTTCTTTCGAACTCAATATTAATTCTCCCCATGTGCCCTCCCTAGCCACCATTCTAGCTTGTCCTTCCATTGCATTATCGCTAGAATCCTTTTCTTCTCATTCAACCGACATTATTAGTGTCAAATCAAGTTCAGCTTCTATTGCTATTTTTCTTTCGTCTCTCAACCAAACATAATAATTATCTGTGTGAATTGTACCGTAATTACTTACCAATGTTAATTGACAAGATATTGCGTTCTGTGTGCAAACGATTGAAGTGTTTCGACAACGACAAAGGATCGCCGTTATATTGTCATCGCTTCCCTGACTTGCTTGTTGCCTATAGGAGGCTTGTTATGTATCATTATAAAGTAATGTTCTCGTGTTTGCATCAAATCAGTTCTTTGCAATAAAGCTTAAGAATATAATTGTTATTAGGTCACTGAGGTGTCACTGATCGCCAGTTATATATTTATAAAAATAATTATCCTTACGGATTTTAAAATTCGCTTTCCCTTTTCTTTTTTGTGTAGCTTAGCTTATAATGAGTACCGTTGTTGTCTAAAGTGCCATGGGTGATACATCCATGGTCGAATGCTCCGAAATCAGAGAAACCTCCAGTGACGTGCCGTATCCCAGAGTTCGAACCATTGTACTAAGCTCGAAGTGTTCATTATTTTCTGTCCCTGTTCGAAGGAGGTGGGCCAGTTTCTTTCTCCGTGACGACACGCGAGGTTGATTTGTTTTGAAGTTACCTTCTCGCCTGGACCAAGCTGGTTTTGAATTCAGTGTTTTCCTTTTCCTAGATCGGTTACCAGACATGATCTGTCTTGCTATGAAATGGGTTCATGCCTTTTACCAGAAGTATTAGCACGAAGATGAATCTAATGAACTCAACTGGAATTCGAACTCGGCTCTCAATCCTCTAATAGCTGCCATCCGTTATGCTACCGGGCCTCCATAATGATTATCTCTCAAAACAAAATTAGACTGGTTATTGAGAAAAAACAATGGGATTTTATACATGTTGCTGAAATTAGAAATTACATATTCTTAGAATGTTGTCATAACGAAGAATAGAATAAATGGCAATGGTAATAATAGCCGTTTCCTTATAAGGAAATATTCGACATTTATTAACTGATCAGCCAGTACTACCGACGGTTGAAATTTATAAAATCTTTGTCTTAAAACAATTTTTTAGGAAAATCGTTTTCTCCAGTCTAGAAGGTTCTATCGTTATTTCCAATATTAACGGGATTCTCTTCCTAAACTTTTATTTAAGCAGTGTGGGACGTTGTTATTCTGTTTGTCATTATTTTCTCTTCGAGTCTCAAAGCTAAATTCCTGTCTTTAATGCGTTTCTCACAATGTTTTGTCTGTTGTACCTTCTAGACTTCCTCAGTCTATGTTATTCAGTTAACGGTTTTGTGAGTATTCACTTATTTTAGTAATTTTACTTTAACAAAAAAAGGCGGCATTTTTATAGCTATTAAGACCGTTTTCATTTTCCAAATAGAACTTTAGCCTAATTGCAAGAAATTAGGATTTCAAACCAACCTACACTAAAATAATTCAATTTTAATTTTTTTAAAAGTTACTAGATGCCACATACACCTGAAGAAGGCAAGAAAATACATCATCTGAAACGGTGTAATGAAAACAAAAAAGGGGCCGGGGGTCCCCCAAAATCCTTGATTTAATATATATATAGTTTCAAAAATTCAGATAGACATTTGGAAATTGTAAAATCTTATATTATCTAAGGGAAGTAACTCTGACAAAATATCTCAAACGTCATCTGTCGACATAATAAGAATAAAAATAAAAACACCTATCCGTTTTAGTTGTTGCTGCTGTTGAAAGTCCTCAAGTGATGCAGATTTTGTTATTTGGTATCTTTCTTTCTTATTCTGTAACACAAGTTTCCAAGGAGTGTGGTCTTCGCCAAAACCCAATCTTTACACGATCAAAGACTTTTTTTTTTAAGCATTGATCTTAGAAAACAGTTGTTTACAGCTGACAGTTTAGGTATTTATGGACAGGTTTGACGTCATGCATCA